AAGAAGAACAGGGGCATCTGGGTGGCTCAGTTGGTTAAGCGTCTGACTTCGAGCCCTGTGAGTTTGAGCCCTGTGCTGACAGCTCGGAGCCTGGAGCCTGCTTCAGATTCTGTGTCTCAGTTCTCTCTGTCCCTCCCGCACTTGCACTCTGTCTTTCTCTCTCAAAAATAAACAAGCGTTAAAAAATAATAAAGGGAGAAAAATAAACCAGTCTCCATTAGTTGCTGAATGGGTAAGAGCTTTCTTATAATGATTTCTTAATTTAGTTCTCATAAACCTTTTAGGAATAGAGAGCACATCCTTCTTGTTTGCTATTCTTAAAGAAAATAAATGTACTTTGAAGTGAAATACTAGCTGAGCAGGTATCTGAAATTTTAAGAAGATGGCTTTAAACATTTTATAAGCTAACTCCTTAAGCTATCTATATCATGTTGAACAAAGAAGAATTAAAAAACAATGACTGGTTAATGACATAGTATTATCGTTATTCCAACTTGAGTAAAGTTATGTCAGGGTTTTTCTATTACTGATTATTTACAGAGCTGTTGGATCAACTGCTTATTTTGTGTGGCCCCCAATTTAAATGCATTCAAAGACATTTACTTCCAGGGGAAAAGAAAAGAAAAGAAACTTACCTATGTACCCTCTAATTTTTTTGGGGGGGTTTGCTCTCATGTGCTACACTAAAAATCCAAGTTTTGGGGCGCCTGGGTGGCGCAGTCGGTTAAGCGTCCGACTTCAGCCAGGTCGCGATCTCACAATCCGTGAGTTCGAGCCCCGCGTCGGGCTCTGGGCTGATGGCTCAGAGCCTGGAGCCTGTTTCCGATTCTGTGTCTCCCTCTCTCTCTGCTCCTCCCCCGTTCATGCTCTGTCTCTCTCTGTCCCAAAAATAAATAAAACATTGAAAAAAAAATTTAAAAAAAAATAAAAATCCAAGTTTTGCGTGTAACTAGGAATCCTTTTTCCAAGGAACTGTGGGTAGTTCTTGACAACACAAGGCATTTTGTCTTAATATAGATGTAGTATTTTTCATGAGGATTGTAATTTTTACACACCAATGGAAGTCTGTTGCCTAAATGGAATTGCCAAAAAGTACAGTTATGAGATTGTCAGTTAAGTGTTCAACTTTGGCTCAGGTCATGATCTCATGGTTTGTGGGTTCGTGCCCTGGATAGGGCTCTGTGCCCACAGCTTGGAGCCTGGAGCCTGCTTCGGATTCTGTGTCTCCCTTTCTCTCTGCCCCTCCCCTGCTCATACTCACTCTCTCTCTCTCTCTCTCTCTCTCTCAAAAATAAAAATTAAGAAAATACTGTTGTTCAGTTTTATATTAAAGATTTTCAGTATTTTCTTTGCCTTGTAATTTTTAACGATGTCTTCCCTCTAGGTTCTAAACCTCAAACTTACTTTGATAACACTTGATTTAAAATAAAAATTAGAGATGCATTTTCAGTATTATAGACTTTATAGACTTTTTTTGAGTGAATTAAAGGGCATTTAGTTCTTGCAAGAAGTCACCTGGAATGTTGCCAACTATGTCCTTGGCATTATATACTTGGTCAGCAGTGCCTTAAAATATTTTGTTTACCTTCCTAACCACTCTCCCCAAATGAATAAATGGAAAACAACAACATCAAGGCAAGAGAACTGGGATAATTTATTTCTCTGTCAATAAATGTAAGAGGATTTTAGTGCCACTTTAAAATTGATTATTTTCTTATATGTATTGATGAAGAACAATAATTTGTTCCCTGTTAGTAGTTAACTGTAGTCAGTAAATGAGATCAAATCATTAAAATTTGTGAATCAGAAAGATATAGCAAAATGAACTTTTCATACAAATTTCTCTCAAATATCTGCTTATTAGTATAATAGCTGTTTTTATTTCCAACAGTTAAGGTAGTAGCTTTCAAAAGAACGTATTAAATACATGTATGTTTTCATGATGGTATTGTTTTCATTCTCTTTCTCTTTTTTCTGCATAGAAATACATAAAACTATATAGTATGCAATAGTGACTATATGCTTTAGTTTAAATAATACGAAGTTAGGGGGGGTGCCTGGCTGGCTCAACTGGAAGAGCATGCGACTTGATCTTGGAGTCGTGAGTTCAAGACCCACGTTGGGTGTAGAGATTACTTAAATAAATAAACTTAAATAACATGAAGTTAGTCTAGGGAAAAGGAGAGTATTTAAATGTCTTCAGTATAATGAAAGGAAAGTGTTTTACCAAGGTATTTTTAAGATTTGTATCTACCATGAGCTTATAGCTTAAAATTCATGCACACGTAAAAACAAATAAACATACATAGAGGCTTGGTTATGTAACTTTTGACCTAGAAATTCTAGTTTAATAAATTTATTCTGAAGAAATACTAGGAATTGTAGCCAGGGCACTTAGGTGGCTCAGTCATTAAGCATCTGATATTGGCTCAAGTCATGATCTCAAGGTTCATGAGCTCGAGCCCCACTTCAGGTGAGCCACACCTCTCTCTCTCTCTTCCTCCCTCTCTCTGCCCCTCCTGGGTTTCTCTCTCTTTCTCTCTCTCTCTCTGCTCTTGTTCACATGTGCCCTCTCTCTCTCTCAAAAAAAAAAGTTGTAGCCATAGGTTTATGTTCAAGATTATTCATCATAGCATTTAAAAATATTAGCAAAGTAAGTAAAAGTAAAAGCGATGAACAATAAAGAAAGAGCTCAATAATGTTCTATTCATTAAAAAAAAAAAAAAAACTCTGCAGGGGCGCCTGGGTAGCTCAGTCGGTTAAGCATCTGACTTTGGCCATGTCATGATCTCACAGTTCGTGAGTTCAAGCCCCGCATTAGGCTCTATGCTGACAGCTCAGTCTGGAGCCTGCTTCAGATACTGTGTCTTCCTCTCTCTCTGCCCCTCCCCCGCTCATGCTCTGTCTCTTTGTCTCTCAAAAATAAATAAACGTTAAAAAAAATTTTTTTAAATACTATTGCAGCCATTAAAAAACACAAAGACTGTAATGAAGTGAAGAAAAAAGGTTTAATACAGAAGTGCTTTAAAAAAAAGGTGCTTTTGTTCTCCTACTTTTTAGAAATGGATAGATGATCAATTGGGTAAAACTACTTGTTTTTCATGCAGCACCTGTTATATGTAGTCAGCTGACGGCGACTACTCTGTGTTTAACTCAGGAGACAAGTTATTACTTTCTCTTTACTGTCAGGCTAGGAACCATTTCTGAAAAGTTTCAGCCCTTTATTTTGTGCAGAAATCTTATGTGTAATGGAATTGCTACATAGGAGTCATATACATATAAAGGAAGTAGGAACATTTGATCCTCTTTAGGTTTGTTTTCTAAGCAAACAGTAGGAATATTTACAGAGTATATTTGAGCAATGGATACAGATTCCAAGAAATGTGGCATGAATTCTGAAAACTCATTGCATTAGCAATATAGGAAATTTGGTAAGTTTTGGGATTATGCTGAAAATGGTGATAATTATATTATAAACAAGTCTACCCCATAAAAAATTGTTTGCCCTCAGTTATTTTATGGTCTACAAAGGAAAATTATTTAGCATTTTCTAAAGCATGTTTTGAGGGTGTTTTTTCTAGTTTTTAAGTGGGAAAATAGGGTTCACCAGTTGTTCAAATAGACTTGGGAAATCCTGGGCTAAGCAAAGTTAACAGGTACCTTTTTCAAAGTACTGTTGAGACATAAATATTTCTATATATTTTATTATAAATATATGAAAGAGGCATGAAGTGTATATACCTAATGTATTTGAACACGGAATCCTTTCTTTGCATTTATTGAAACTAAGTTTAACATGAGACGTATATTGGAAAATATCTGCTCTATATATTAAATTTTTTTCTTATAACTGTTATATAAACAATGACCCCACTCTGGGGGGGCATATTCTCCTAAAGAAACAAATAAGGTTTAAATGACACCTGAAGGAGATTTTGCTATTAAAGTGTTTGCAAACACATAATAGAATTTTACTTTGCGTATTTTTTCTTTGAATTTTTTATAAGCATGTATTACTTTTAACACCTCTGCCCTAAGTACTTGTAGTATTTGAAGTTCCTCTGTTTGTTGTATCTGTTGAGACTCATTCAGGGTGGATTTTTCTTTGTATGTTTTTATAGTTTTGGAATAGGAGGTCATCTTTAGCTGGGGTTTATCTGTGGAAAACCTGGGTAGAGGGTGTTGCCTTCTAGAACTATTTTGTATTTGCTTCCCCCAGGGTACCACTAGCCTGGGAACACAGTTATTGTTAATATCTGTTTGGAGCTTCTTGGGACAATGGAGATGGCTTAAGGTCAAACTTCATATCCAAATATGAGTAGGCCTGTTGTTACACATTCACATAGGAGCCTTTTTACCTCCTCCCTTCCAAAAGCTGGGCCCAGATTGAGGCCCAGTATTATCTCACTGTACCAGCAGATGGATTTTTTAAATCCACTCTTTAACGGGGGATATAGCCCTTTGCAGCTCTTGGCTTTATGCAGATGTTTCAGTTCTAATTCCCTATCTTATGTGGTCCCAAAGCCTTGTCTCCGGTCCCTGTAATGCCTTTTAAAACACAAACCCCCTGAATTACCGATGAGACGAGATCAGCAAACTTCCCCCACCCATTATCAGCTCATATGCTGCACTCTGGTCTTTGGTTTTCTCAGTGTTTTGAGGCCCTGGGGATTTCATTTTTACAGGTTAGTCTGTGCATTTACAAGATGTGTTTTGTTGTTGTTTGTGCTGTCTACTTAGGTAATCCAAGCTTCCACGTTGTTACAAATGGAAATTCATGTATTCAGAAATTCTTATATTCAGAAAATAGTGCTGAATCCATTCCTATTTTTTAAAGAGGCCACACATTTTACATATTAAAATGAAATGTGTAATAACAGTACTGTGTTTATCAGGGAAGTGGTGTTCTTTTTATAGATTTTCATTTTTATTTACGCACAAACCACTTCTATTTATTTAATTTATTAGAGGAGAATGTTAGTCTTTCACTTTCTTTTTAGATGTAACCTTCTGTAATGGAAGATGATTGAAGATAAGGGGCCTCGTGTTGCTGACTACTTTGTTGTAGCTGGATTAACTGATGTTTCAAAGCCTCTGGAAGAAGAAATTCACTTCAATGATGCCTGTCATAAAGTAGCTAAACCAAAAGAACCTATTACAGATGTTGCAGTTATTATTAAATCTCTTGGGGAGGAAGTGCCACGGGATTATATCTGTATTGATGTTACTCCAACTGGATTGTCAGCTGATCTCAATAATGGAAGTCTTGTGGGGCCACAGATTTACCTTTGCTACAGAAGAGGAAGAGATAAGCCTCCACTTACAGATCTGGGGTAAGTTTTTTTGTTTGTTTGTTTTGTTTTTTTTAAGAATTGTTGTTATTGATCCAAATAATATGTCTTGTAGATTTTGAAGTTCACCGTTCAATTCATTCATTAATAGATACGTGGCAGCTTTAGAAAAATAGGGGCATGATTAGAATCCTGTGTTGTCTTTCTGTGTTCCTTATACCGTTTGAGTGTTCCTTTGTCCTGCAGGTTCCCAGCACTTTCATCTTGGTGGAATTGCTTTCTGTTAAATAAACTTTTTTTTTTCTTTTGAAAGTTTCAAACTTCTACAGTAAAGTACCAGAAAACTAGTGTTTTTTCCTGACCGTAAAAATTTTAATCATTTTAAAAGTACTAGAAAAGGGTGGCTTTTGAGCATCAGTTGTAATGATCATTGTAGGTGGATACTTAAATCTGTATGCATCAAACAAGGATCTTGGGGTAAATTAGTGCTCTACTTAGGATATGATACTGAACTTAGGGCTTCTTTTTCCCGTAATAGCTTTATTGAGATAGAATTCAGATGCCATGAAATTTACCGATTTAAAATGTACAATCCAGGGGTGCCTGGGTGGCTCAGTCGGTTAAGCGTCCGACTTCAGCTCAGGTCACGATCTCACGTCCGTGAGTTCGAGCCCCACGTCGGGCTCTGGGCTGATGGCTCAGAGCCTGGAGCCTGTTTCCGATTCTGTGTCTCCCTCTCTCTCTGCCCCTCCTCCGTTCATGCTCTGTCTCTCCGTGTCTCAAAAATAAATAAACGTTAAAAAATAAATAAATAAATAAATAAATAAAAAATAAAATGTACAATTCAGTAGTTTTCAGTATAACTTATAAAGTTGTGCAACCATCACCACAATAAACTTCAGAACATTTTTATTATGTCAGAAAGAAACCCTGTACTCATTTTAGCTGCTGTCCCATTCTGCCTAACCCCCTCAGCTCAAGGCAATGCTTACTCTGCTTTCTGTATCTGTGGATTTGCCTACTCTGGACATTTTATATAAATGGAATCATATTCTAAGGCAAAAAAATAATACATTTTGTGCCTGGCTTCTTTCACTTAGCATTATGTTTTCCAGGTTTATTCGTGTTGTAGTATGTGTCAGTACTTCATTCCTTTACGTGGCTGACTAATATTCCATTTATGGATGCACCATAAATTGTTTGTTTTCACAATTTATTCATCAGTTTGATGGACATGTGGGTTCTTCCCACTTTTTGGTTATTATGAATAATGCTGCTGGAAATAGTCATATATAAATTTTTATATGGTCATATGTTTTCATTCATTTCTCTTATATATATACTTAGGAGTGCAATTGCTGGGTCATTTAATAACTCTGTTTAATCTTTTGAGGAACTGCCAGACTGTCTTCCCAAAAAGCTGCATGACTTTGCATTCCCACTGACAGTGTATGAAGGTTCCAGTTTGTCTGCATCCTAGCCAACATTTTGTATCATTGTTTTGATTGTGGCTTTCCTAATGGTATCTCATTGTGGTCTTGATTTGCATTCACTTGATGGCTAATAATGTTGAGCATCTTTTCGTGTATTTACTGGCCATCCGTAAATCTTTTGAGAAATGTCTATTTAGAATCCTGTACCCATTTTTTAACTGGCTTATCTTTTTATTGTTGAGCTTTGAGAGTCCTTTATGTATTCTAAATGCAAGTCACTTACCAAATATATAATTTACAAATATTTTCTCCCATTCTGTGGGTTGTCTTTACACTTTCTTTATGGTATCCTTTGAAGCTGAAAAGTTTTTAATTTTGATCAAGTCTGATTTGTCTATTTTTTCTTCAGTTGCTTGTGTTTTGGCATCCTCTCTAAGAAAGCTTTTACTAATCCCAAGTCATGAGGATTTACACCTAAGTTTTTGTCTAAGGGTTTTATACATTCAGCCTTTATATTTCGATCTTTGATCTGTTTTGACTTAATTTTTGTGTATGGTCAAGGAAGGGATCCAGCCTTAATATTTTGCTTATGGATATCCAGTTGTCCCAGCACCATCCATTGAGGAGATCATTCTTTCCCCATTTTCAAAAATTAATAGGTCATAGACATATGGGTTTATTTCTGGACTTGCAAATTCTATTTTATTTGTCAACATGTCTGTCTTTGTGCCAGTACGCAGTTTTGAATACTGTAGCGTTGTATTAAGTTTTTACATTGGAAGTGTGAATCTACCAGCTTTGTTCTTTTTCAAGATTTTTTTGGCCATTCTGGGTCCCTTGAATTTCCATATGAATTTTAGGACCAGCTCATCAATTTTTGAAAAGATTGGGGCTCTTTTTAAAAGACGAGTATTTGTTTGTGTGCGTATATATATATATACGCACACACACACACACATATACATATATATTTACATTTATATATTTCTCTTTTACATGTATATGTAGTTTACATTTTTTATTTTTATTTTTTTTTTCAACGTTTATTTATTTTTGGGACAGAGAGAGACAGAGCATGAACGGGGGAGGGGCAGAGAGAGGGAGACACAGAATCGGAAACAGGCTCCAGGCTCTGAGCCATCAGCCCAGAGCCTGACGTGGGGCTCGAACTCACGGACCTCGAGATCGTGACCTGGCTGAAGTCGGACGCTTAACCGACTGCGCCACCCAGGCGCCCCGTAGTTTACATTTTTTAAAAAGAACCCAAATCTTTGCAGAAGTTGACATTATATACATTATATAATATGTATTATATGTACAAAAGGAGAATATATAAGTGTAAAGATATCTACATAAGATATAGATACAGGTATATCCATATACACATGGGGCAAAAGAGGAACAACACTTTAAAGGTAGAAAAATAAGATGCCCACTGAAAAACTGAAAGAAAAAGACCAAAGGAAAGCTACAGGTAGCTCTAATAATGTCTTCAAAATAGATGAAAAGTTTATAAGGAATGAAGATTAGCTTTATTGTTTTCATTACTCAGTTGCAAAAAAGGCATGAGTTTAACTTACAATATTTGAGTTAAAATTGGGAAGGGGGTGCCTGGGTGGCTAAGTCAGTTAAGCATCTGACTTCGGCCCAGGTCGTGATCTCATGGTTTGTGGGTTCGAGCCCTACATCAGGCTCTGCGCCGACATTGGGGAGCCTACTTGGGATTTTCTCTCTCTGCCCCTCCCCCGCCTGTGCTTTCTCTCTCTCTCTCAAAGTAAATAAATAAACTTCAAAAAATAAAAACAGGGGCGCCTGGGTGGCGCAGTTGGTTAAGCGTCCGACTTCAGCCAGGTCACGATCTCGCGGTCCGTGAGTTCGAGCCCCGCGTCAGGCTCTGGGCTGATGGCTCAGAGCCTGGAGCCTGTTTCCGATTCTGTGTCTCCCTCTCTCTCTGCCCCTCCCCCATTCATGCTCTGTCTCTCTCTGTCCCAAAAATAAATAAATGTTGAAAAAAAAAATTTAAAAAAAAATAATAAATAAAAATAAAAATAAAAACGGAGAAGATATCAACATTCCTACTGATGTTACCAGTAGGGGCTATAAAAGTTTCATCTCCTACTATTATATTAAGTCTGAAAGTGGATAGTCATATTTACTAATGCCTAAGGGGAGATAGAATGAATTGGAATTGGAAGAGCTCCTGAAATTTCTTCCACTTTAAAAATTCTGTCACTTAATGTTTGATATCAAAAAGTTATACTAAAAATCAATTTTTGGGCGCCTGAGTAGCTCAGTGAGTTAAGTGGCTGACTCTTGATCTCAGCTCAGGTCATGATCTCGGGGTCATCGTTCAAGCTCCATGTTGGACTCCATGCTGGGCATGAAGCCTACCTAAAAAAAAAATAATTTTGGTTCTGTTAATTCATGAATGAATTATAGTAATTTTAAGTTGGTTTCAGAACAGCTACTATATTGCTTCTTCTAAAGCTTATATATTTAGTAAATGGCTTGGGAAAGTAAGCCAGCTGTTAGATCTTCTTTTCAAAAGATTAGGTAATTTGCTCCTATGATCACTGATCATCATCACAATTCTAACTTGTGGATAAAATGTAGGGAATGTTGCAGATTCTCGTTAAGGTGTTGAAGTTTCCTAGTTTAGAGATGAGGACTTTTCCAAGCACATGAAGGATTCTCCAGTAGTGAAGAACTTAAACTGGAATGTAAATTAACCATCCTTTTTTTTTTTTTTTTAATTTTTAAAAGTTTATTTTGAGAAGGGGGGAGGGGCAGAGAGAGAGGGAGAGAGAATCCCAATCAGGCTCCATACCCAGAGCAGAGCCCAGCTTGGGACTCAGTCTCATGAACCATGAGATCATGACCTGATCTGAAACCAAGAGTCAAACACTTAACCCACTGAGCCACCCAGACACCCCAAATTAACCACCCTTACAACTATCCTAACTTGTTGTCATTGGGGAGGAGAGAGCATCATTTTTTAACAGCCTTTGAAAAGCTTAGTTTAGTTAGACAAGAAAAGTTCCTAACAATTTAAAAATCAAAAGTAGTAATGCAAGTACTGGATTTAACAACACAATACCTGATTAAAGAAAATAGTTATCAAATATATATTCCATATCTTTAAAAAATTTGAGGTGATGGTAGTTTGTTGGTGGTGGTTTGTTATATTTAGATTTCTTATTTTCAGTTGAGGAGCTGTTTTCCAGTTCTGTCAAGATCCTGTGAGTTAGATTACTTTTAATGTTTATTTATTTTTGTGAGAGAGAGAGAGAGAGAGAGAGAGAGAGAGAGAGAGATTAGGGGAGGGGCGGAGAGAGAGGGAGACATGGTATCTGAAGCAGGCTCCAGGCTCTGAGCTGTCAGCGAGAGCCCCATGTGGGGCTTGAACCCACAAGCAGTGAGATCATGATCTGTGCTAAAGATAGATGCTTAACCCACTGAGCCCCCCAGGTGCCCATGTGAGTTAGATTTTTCAATGTTGTAGCCTCTCTGATTAGTACAAGGCTCAGAGAGGTTAAATATCTGCCCAAGAGAATACAGCTAGTAGCCAGTAGTAGAAATTTGAATTGAAGTGTGTTTAATTTCTCTCTGTTATAGTGCCTTTTTTTTTAAAGATTAAAGAAAACAAAACAGAAAAGCAAGATCAAAAGGGAGAGAGGGAAGAATAAGCATTTAAGCTAACATTAGGATAAACATAGTTGCTATAATTCTAACTATCAAATCTAACTCCAAATTTTCAAAATCAAATGTTCAGAGAAAAATTTCTTTAAGTTTGCAGATGGTCATGACATAAAGGGAAATTAAAAATTATATTACAGTGAAATAATTTGACCAGTTTTTGGCACTTAATTTTATTTGAATTATGGGATTTTATAAAAGGAAATACTGACTGATGTTGAGGATATTGCCTGTTACAACAGTTTTTATAGCAAATGCAGAAACACACTCAGTATAGTAGAGCTTTAAATTTTCATTGGCTCATGCCAAGTACAAATCAGTGAATTCTCTGAGGGAATAGACTGATGTTACTCCAGTATGACATTTTCCTTGTATCCCCAAGTACTTTTTAGAAGACTTAAGGAACAGATGCCTGGCCTGCCCTTTAATAAAATCCTACCATTTTACCACAATAAAGAAAAAGAAGAAGAAAAAAAAGCCTATGTCTTTCACCCATCCTTTCGATTAAAGGTGGATTTGAGGTTATTTTCTCTTTTGAAAACCTGAAACCGTCTCTTAAACCTGAGGGAAGCGTTGGAAGTAAAAGTGTGTAAGCAGGTTCTATACTGTCTGGCAAGGAGCCTTTTGTAAAATTATAACTTTGGCTAAAACCAAGTTGCTTTTTCTAAAAAAGATGCTTGGTTTTAGAGACAAAAATAAACACATCTGTTAAATGGAGTGCCACAGCAGGTGCGTCTGCACTTAATCCTTGCCTTTCTGTGGTTTATGCCAACAAACCTAAGAGGTAATCTGACTTTTCCTTACATTATTTTAATTTTGGGCAGGGAAAACGTTACCCTTTAGTTTTACATGGGATGGTTCAATTCAGACTTGCTGTAAGATTGGAATATCTGCTACGTTTAAGGATCAGTTGATGATACCTGAAAATATTACCTATCCTATTTGAAGATGTTTTGCATTTGTGTAGTTATTTATGTATTTTTGTTTAGGGTTTTATACGACTGGAAAGAAAGATTGAAACAAGGGTGTGAAATTATTCAGAGTACTCCGTATGGACGCCCTGCAAATATTAGTGGCAGTACCTCATCACAAAAAATTTATATCACTTACCGAAGAGCCTCTGAAAACATGACTCAGAATACGTTGGCTGTCACAGACATATGTATTATCGTACCCAGTAAAGGAGAAAGCCCACCACACACGTTTTGCAAAGTCGACAAGAATCTCAATAACAGTATGGTAAGTGACTTGTTTTGTACTGGTAAAATTAGCCACTGATGAAAAGAACATGATTTAAAATCTTTGAAAAACAGCGGAGCATAATAACTGAATTAAAAAATACGTTTTTAAAGATAGTGGATCTTTCCTTTTTGGGAAAATAGTTGTACTTTCAAAAGGAACTGTGCAAAAAGCAATTTGCTTTTTTTTTTTCTTCCAATTTAAAGAATATTTTTCCCCTTACTGGAAAAGTAATACACTAGCCAAGGTTAACCCCTTCACTTGTGTGCCAGATCCCACATACTTACGTATTTGAAGACATGGCTTCAGCAATGTTTCTACTTTTTAGGAATCATTGGTCTTTCTCTATTGCATTATTTACTCCAGCATGCAAAGCCTACTGCAATATTTCCCATCTTTACAAAACTTCTTGATTCGTATGTTTGCCTCTGTCTATTGCCTCATTTCATTGTTCTCCTTTACAGTAAAACATCTCAAAAGACGTGACTATATTCTGTCCCCTTCCTCACTTTGACTCTCTAGCTTAGGCTTTTGTCTCTACCATTCCACCAATATTGCTCTTGCTGTTGAATTCAGTGGTTTTAATTTGTAATTTTTCAGTAGGTTTTGACATAGCTGATCACTTCTTTCTTGAAACAGTGGCAGGAAGATAAGATGGATTCTCTTCCTGAGTACTCTGTAGCTCTTTCCTCCTACCTTACCCATCATTCCACTTCTGCCTTTGCTAACTCCTTCCCTTTGGCCTATTCTCTATATGATGCAGTGAAAATTGTACTCTTCTAGTTACTCAGGCTAAAAACCTTGAAGTAATCCTTAACCTTTCTCTTCTACTTTTCATCCAATTCTTCTGTAAATTCTGTTGACTCCAATTTCGGAACATACTCAGCCTCTCCATTGCTACAACTCTGGTCCAAGCCATAATACCCTTTTAACAGGATGGTTGCAATAGTATTCTAATTTAGGAGACAGGCAAATTTTCATATAAAGGGCTAAATAATAAGTTTTGTGGGTCATATACAGTCTCTGTCACATATTCTTTTTTTTAAACCCCTAAAAATTAAAAACTAGTCTTAGGTGTACAAAAACAGGCCTTGGGTCAAATGCAGGCCATTGTGTGCCAGATCCCTGGTCTAACTGATCAAGGCTTCTACTTCTTCCTACAGCCTATTCATCATGTAGCAGCAAGAGTGATCCTTGTAAAACATAAATTGGATCCTATTCACTCCTCTGCTTACAACCCTTAATGGCTTCCCATCTCACTCGTAGTCAAAGTCCTTTCAGTAGCCTTAAGGCTATGCATGATCTGTAATTGTCTTTGTTCTTTTATTGCTGTTTTAAATTTTAAAAAGAAATGTGTGCTGCCCCCCAAAACATTGAGAGGGGGAGCAAATTGTAGGCCTATGAAGTGAAAGTTCTTGTTCTTACTTTCATCTTTTGTAATCCCTTTCCAGGATTACCAATTACTGATTTGGCTTGTGTCCTTTCAGGCCTTTTGTCCTTTCAGATATGTGTGCAATACACATAATGTGAATGAATTCATCCTTTATTTTTCAAAAATTGGAACTTTCTGTATATTCTGATAGAAGCTTTTTTCCACTATCCACCTTCATGAGTTAATAGAACTCTCTATTTAATTCTTATAATAATTATATACTATTCCAGAAAATAAGAATAAAGAGTAATGATTACAAGTTATTTCCAGTTCTTCCCATTATTAGTGATGCTGCTTTGATCAAGCCTGTACCTTTTTCTTTGTGTATTTATTGGAGTGTCTCTGGAAGAATAAATAATTATAAGTGGAATTGATGGGTCCCTGGGTATGCTGTACATTTTGAAAAGTGTTGACACATTGCTCTGAAAGGGTTGTGGCACTTTCAATAAGAATTCCCTTTCCTGAGGTACCTGGGTGGCTTAGTCAGTTAAGCGTCTGACTTTGGCTCAGGTCATGATCTCACGGTTCATGGGTTTGAGCCCCGCATTGGGCTCTGTGCTGACAGCTCAGAGCCTGGAGCCTGCTTCAGATTCTGTGTGTGTGTCTCTCTCTCCCCTCCCCCCACTCACACTCTGTCTCTTTCTCTCACAAAAATAAACA